TTAGAGCTTAAGTACAGAGCTTTAACACAACAGTTTTCCACAAGCGTGTTGCTAATGGAATTAAGACACAAAATATGTATTACAGGTAATCCTTGGGTTACGACGGCAATTGGGACTGGAATTTCCATCACTAAGCAATGCAGTCATAAAGTGCAAAGTCACGTGACCTCATTGCTTAGAAACAGCAATCCCAGTAGTCCCCATCGCTGTTGTTAAGTGAGGATCACACGGATCGCTAAGTGAGGGCCTCACATGACCGTGATGTGAAAAGAAGTGCTGAAAGTGCATCCCTGGCAAGCAGGCCAGTGGGCAAGAGCTACAGCCAGGCAGATGGGTGCCATGGGCAGGCACTACGGAGTATGGGCGGGTGCTATGGAATATGAGTTCCCTATGCCACTCAGGGGCTCCTCAAGACAAAAGGCAGCGGGAGCGACTTGTGACCTCCTGCCATTTTCCCCACTGACTGTGCTTGGGGGAAGCTGGCAGGGAAGTGCCAGTGATCACATGGGAGTGGGACACTGCAACCATCATAACTGCAAGCTGGTTTCCAAGAACCCGAATCACAATCATGTGACTGCAGGGATGCTGCAACTTTGAGGACCAGTCAGAAGTCCCCCTTGTTAAGCAACAAACTTTGAATGGTCACTGAACAAGAGGTCATAACCCACGGACTACCTGTGCTAGAACAAACTGAAAGCCATTTCCATATAATCTGCCTCCCTATCTGTGAAGAATTATATGGTATGACCTTGGCAAATGATGTGGTTCTTCTTCCATGCATGGAAGCTTCCTTGTCTGGAAGGAACCATGTCACTGCCTGAATTACAATCATGTATTTATAAGTTGGGGTAGAGAATAAAGTAGATGACCTTGACAGAAATATGCAAGAACTGTTACGTGAGCAAAGAGGGCTGAAACATTTTTTACATATGGGAAGCAAGATAGTATCTGGAAGCATCTCAGGAAGGCTTCTCCCTGATTCACTGAGGTATAAGAAGATTGGGAGGTAAAGCACAATCAGGCTTATAAGATTCTGTTATTATAGCCTATCTCAATAAAGTATTGTTTGAGCCTTCCTGTGGAGTTGATTCTCTGATCAGGTCTATCTAGTGCACTGTTTCTCAACCTTGGCAATGTTAATTTGTGTGGACTTCAACTCCCAGAAATCCCCAACCAGCATGCTGGCTGGGGAATTCTGGGCATTGAAGTCCACCCAGCTTAAGGTTATCAAGGTCGAGAAACACTGATCTAGTGGGACTTACAGTTGGATCCATTGCTCCTCATAGAAATGTTATTAGAGAGTTATGAGCTTTTTATTGGTCTGATAATTGCAGAACTAGCAAAAACAATATCAAAACTATATTTCAATAAACCCTAACAAACAACAAAAATAGCAGCAGGAATTAATATGACAGCAAAACTATTTTTTTTAAGACAAAGTTTTAAAATTAAAAACATATCTCAATTATCTCCTTATAAAGAACATTTACTAGTTTGATTGGGTACTGAAGAAATGGATTTGGGAAGTGCAGGTGAAAGAATAGACAGATAGACAGACAGACATTTGTTCTTTTGTCCATACGTTAATGAAATGTCTGTGCTATCCTTTGTCTACCCCACATTACCTTAGATACTTAAAAGAATTTCCCAACCTTCAAAGGGTTTTAGTGGTGGCACAAAAAGAAAAGGGTAATAAAGGAGAAGAACCCCACAACTAGCAGGATATGCAATAGTTACCAACTTTTGAAAAACATTCAGTAATGGGGGAAATTATATAGGTCCCTCCAGGAAGTTACTGTTATATTAAATAACCCTGGTATCTCATCTCTATTTTGGCCTGCTTTCATTACTTCATTTCACAATTATGTAAAAACCCTTGATTTCTTGAGCTTCTTAAGCATAAAACTTGTTGTTTAGTAAGAACCATCTTTTTAAGAAATCTGTATAGCCCAGGAGTATCACTTCAAGAATTTCTGATAGAAGGCCCAGATAAAAAACACAGAGCTCTTTAACTAGAGTTCCTTTAGCTTATAGATGCAAAACAAATGTGTGACTGGGCATGAAAATATAGTCAACTTCCTAGGCATTTTTTATATGCAGTGCTTTATCAAAAGAAGTATTATAGATCACCTTACAGTGTTCTCCTGGGAGACTGTTCTTTATGGTTTTATAGAGGGCTTTGCAAGCCCCTTCTTTTTCAACCGCCTCATGAGGCAAAGCGTTAGACATTCCATCTTACAGACTCAAGAGAACAAATGGACTGTGCAGAGTACATGGCTGCTGTGAGACTTACAGTAAAACACAGGTCCAAATAATCACATCAGCCTCTTGTGGCTTAAGAAGGCACAACACAGATCCTCCTATTTCTTCGCCCATTTCATGGCTTTTCCCACCATGTTTTAAATGTTTTCTTTTCTGAAAGCTGTTGTGCATGTGATTGTTTCTTTAACTACAGAAAGCATTTTATGAAAGCAAGTTTCTCACAGAAATGTTTCATTTTTTACTGGCAGACATATCAAAGAGCCACAATTCTGCATGCATTTTAAGAAGTGCTTGCTCATTTTTCAAGCTTTGTGTTTTCTATTCTTTGTCCACTTGAAATCCAATTCATTTTGAACAGCTACAAGATCTAAGAGGACACTTCAAGAAAGAAACATTATATGCTTCTCTCTTACAGAAAAGGATCTAAAACAGCACAGTCACCTATTATACTGCTGTAAGATTGACACGATCTCAAGTGGGTTTAGTGCTTCCCCTTAGTTAAGCAAGCTTTTAGACAGTGGTAGCGCCTTTATTTCTTCTTCATTACCATCATCAGAAAGCTATGCAAAGAACAAAATCACACTAATGAGGAGGGTTATGCAATTAAAATACAACAGTAAAGTTTTGTTTCTTAATTACAAAAATCACATAATTTTGTAATTTGACATATCTCTGAAAAGAAGGTATACTTTCCTTCATAAGCAGATGTGACTGAATTATAAGTCACAGCTGCCTAATTTTCTTATGAGACAGCAAACGCTTTGCATCCTGCTGATAAATATTCTTCTCTCCCTCGCCTCCCTCCGTAGTAACGGCAACAATAGAGCTGTTAAGAAAAGCACCATCTTTGCCAATTGCTCCGTACAAACAATGTGCTTACCTTCTTGAGGTTTAAAAAGCAATTTTGCAATAGGAAAAGTGTAAAGCTGCTTTATGACTTCATTTCAGGATCTCCTTCCCATAGCAGCTTACTAGAAACACAGATCTTCACCATTTTTCTGATCACATGACTAATGCTAGTTCTAAATAAGGAAGATGATCACCTGCCTTTGGATACCATGCTGTGCATATCCAAACAGCCATTCTAACAGGCACTCAAATAACACCACACACAAACACTTATTAAGAATAACTTTCTTTCTTAGCGGTAAAAAAATAATAATTGTGAGAACAAAATAAATCTTATAATCAATTTGAGAGACTAAATGTAATTTTTGAAGCTGTGTATTGGATAGCTTTATGTAATCTACTTCAGTTAAATTGTATTTAAAACCATGTTGTAATGGAGAATTTAGTAAGAAAACAACACAAAAGATGGCAAATTCAATATCTATCAAGAGGCAGAACTAAGAAATTTTACTGGGACCTATAGGCAGAAGCCACTTTTCTCTGCATTAACCAATTAATTAAAGGGCAATTACCTTTTCTTGAAAAGCATCTTTAAATATGTGCCAGTGTGTAGAAAATAGCATTAAGAAATATGTAGTCATTCCCATGCTGGGTTGTATTTATCATATTATCAAAAGCAGACTTCCCCAGTTTAGAGACTTCCAGATGTGCTTGGGCTATTACTCCTACCAGTTGTATTTATTATTTGGTTTGATTTACATCCTGCCTTTCAACCCAGGGGGTGCCCAAGACACAATTTAAACCAGAGACTTTCCAATATGCAGGTCAGCTGCTTAGTCACTGCACTACATTATCAAACTACAGGTTTGGACTGACATTAACAGGATTGTTAATATGACTGAATCAACTGCTGTATGTTAAAGACAAATACGTTCTTCTTGACTATATCCCCAGTATTGTATCAAAGTATCCAGAACTGTAGATTTTTCAGGCATATGGGCTGGCACATAACCACTCTATGCATCTGATGAAGTGAGCTGAAGCTCACAAAAGTTTATGTATTTTAATAACATTGTTATCGGAAAAGGTACCACCAGGATCCATCTGATTTTTTGCTATCAGAGACTATCATGGCTTTCCTCCTACAACATCTACAATGAGAATTTGCAACTCTAAATATAATTTAGTTCAGAAGAAGAATATCCTTTCAGTAGATACAGTCAGCAATATTGATTTAATTATTTACCAGGGATGTTTTAATTATTACTGTTGTTATTGCTTTGTTGTAAACTCCCAAGAGTCAATTTGATTGACGTGCATATAAATATAATAAATAAAATAAACTCCCTAAAATGGCAAAAGAAGGAAATTGAGTGGTTGAAAAGAGAAAGGTAAATGGTATTATTATAACAATGATATAAGACCAAATGCACCACACACATTATATGTGGTTGTATTCCATATAGGAAAGCTACCAAGAAGAACTAGGGGAAAAAACTGCATTTTCTTAACTGTCAGCATTAATAATTTGGAAAGTATAAACAAACTTTGTGTGGAGTGAGTCCAGTTGTGGCTTTGAATATCTGCTCACACAAGATGTGGCAATACAATTCTTATCAATGCTCTGTATGTATGACAATCCTTCATGTTCCCCAAAAGAGGGTTTTGATCACTGGGTAGCCCTGTAGAATACTAGAAAATTGCAGAACATAGGAGAAATGGGTAAAAATTGGATACTCTGCCTTGCATAACAGGAAGCTCTTATTCTAATACAAAGTTTACCCACCCCTTGCTTCTGGTGTGAGCAACCTTCTGAAATATAACAATATATTCATAAATAATAAAATTAAAAATAAAATTTATAGGCCTTAACATTTATAGGCCTGTCCTTACCCTACTGTTTGATTGAGCTCTGTTTCACTGCCAACAAACTGGGTCTCATCTTCCATTTCTTGTTCTTTTACCCTACTGTTTCTAGGAGGTTGTTGTAGATGATCATCCAATTCACCATCAGTAGCAACCACTTGCAATAAAGGAGCACCTGTTTTTGTACCACATGAAATCTTGTCCTCTTGTTCCCAGGCTTGGCGAGGGCTTTTATCAAGTGGAATTTCAGCTTGGGTCTCAGAGATCAGTTCCTGGCTTAAAACATTGTCTAATTCTTTAATAGATTGTCTGCACAGTGACTCTATTGTAACTGGCTTACTACAGTTATCTTCAGGTGATACATCATGCTCTCCATTTTGGCCTACCATAGTCCATTCCTGGTCTTGCACAGGGATGCTGGGTGATTTCTTTTCATCTTCCCATTTTTGAGGCACAACAGCAGAACTTTTCTCTTCTAAATAAAAAGAGTCCCATTCATTCTCCAGAGTAGACTGCCCTTCACTTTCATTTATTATGGAGATTGACTGTAATGTATCTGAGGAGTCTGCTGAAAATGTTTCAAGAGAATCCATTTGTTCAGCAACTGCTGAAGGGAAATTGCCTTCTTGTGTTACCAGTAAGTCCTTTGTCAAAGATATATTTTCTTCACCACTAATAAGGACATAGTCCATTTCTAAAGAAGACTGTTCTTCGGCTTCCTGTAATTGTGTATCTTCCTTATTGCCCTTTCTTGTCCTATCTAGGAACTTGGCCACTTTACTATCATAATTAAATATATCACAGACAGCTTCTAAAATTAAATAAAACAGCTTTAGTTAAAGTAGTTAATTACTCCTGCTAATTTTAACAATGAAAAAGTTACAGCTTATTGATTTATACAGCCTGTTATTACATTTTACGTTTTGCTTACAATAGGTTTTCATTTAAAATAAGGTATGCTAGATAATTCATAGCTAGAAAAAATACTGCATTTATAGTGCGTGTGTGTGAGTGAGAGTAGGTGTCTCTAAAAACACATTTATAGTGTGTGTATTCATTTGGAATATTTATTTTTTAAAAAATAAATATTCTTAAAATAAATATACTTTCTTTTTTAAAAAAGTATCTCCATTTGGAACATTTTATCTGGAAAAGTTTTCATAAGTTATTTCTTTCTAAACCATTTTATTGCATACTGTGAAACATGCACAAAGATTTTTATTTCCCTAGAAAAAATCTTATATTAAGAAATGTGCCAATTTTACTCACCGTTGGCTACACTTATGACTCCACCTGCTGGTGAATCAATGTGAGTTGATTCTGCTTCATATGCACATTCTTTTAAATAAGTTGTCAACTTGGGAATTACTTCAGACTCTAACAATAAAGAACCCCAGTCTTCAGAACTTTCTCCAGCCTTGCTATTTACATCATCGGATTTCTTTTCTGAAAGATTACTTTCATCTTCACTAGCTGGTGAATCAATTCTATTTGAATATATTTCATGTACAGGTTTTTTAAAAACACATGAAGGTTGCAATATCTCATCAGATTCTAATAAAAATGACTCCCAGCCTTGATTTTCTTGATCTTCTGCAATCTCACTTTTTAAACTGGTAGTTTTAGATTCTGTAATGTCAATTTCACTGCTACCAACTGGGGATTCAATATTACTTGAATCTGTTTCAAACTCAAATCCTTTCAAAGTACATGAAGATCCAGGAGTCCCATCAGATTCTAATAACAGGGATCCCCAACCCTGTTGAGAAAATTCTGCAATATCATCTTTTATAACAGTAGTGTTAGATCCTGAAATATTCATACCATCTTTTTGAAGAGTGTCTACACCAAATGAAGAAGCACATAGAAGTGCTGATTGTTTATTGGGTAATTCTATAAACTGTGGACTGCAGTTTTCCTGCATAGTTTGGAGATTTTGTAGACTATCTGCAGAATATTGTCTTTCTGTATTATACAGGAAATCTTCCTTCTTTTCTTCTACTGAGACTTGCAGCAAGTGTTTCTTTGTAAGTGCTGGATCCATTTCTACTGTTTTCTCTGATTCATCAATGACTGTCAAAGGATTAGTTTCATTCAACATCACAGATAGGTTATTAGTTATTGGTACTTTATTCATACTATACTCTTTTCCAGTGTCATCAATAGTATGCACTGTTTTCAGCTGTTCAGCTGATCCTGTTACATGGTCAAAGGCTGAAAGTTGATCATTTCCAGGAAAATTATCACATATAAAACTATCTGTGGGGAAAACAGGTTCCTGAATAATATTTTCTTTTTCAATTTCAGATGGTTCGTCACTTGTAGAAGATTTTCCTTGGTAGATTATCTCATAATTATTTGAAAGACATGAGCTGTTTTCTTCAGGACATAATTCCTCTTTATCAATTGCTAGTTGCTGATTAAAATGAAAATCAGTGTCTTCTAACAAAAAGGGGGACATTTCATTGGGCTCCTCATGCTCAGCTAGTCCAGAAGTTTGTGCACATGTTTCCTTACTTTCATACTGGCAAACATCAGGACTGCTTGAGGCCTGTGAACTGCTGTCTTGATCAAAGTGATTTAATATATCTGGGTTTTCTCTGTTTGTTCTCAAAATGAAAGGCTGATCAACATCAGTCCACAAATCTGGATCAGTACTGAATATCTGACAGTCTCCAGGGGTGCTATTTTGTAATATATCAGGAACAAATGAATTTTCTTGTGCAATTTTTTCTTCAGTAGCTGTTGAGCTCAAAGATTTTGTTACAGATAGTGAAGGATCAGATGGAGATTTGTCAGTAGTCTCTAGCTGAGTTTCACTGTTTTGATTTATTATGTTTGCATCAAATTGATTTCTGGTTATTATGTTTGGATTATTTTTTAATGGACCAAGTTTTAGATCTCCCTGAGCAAGTGCATTTAATAGGCTTGTCTGCCAGTTTTCTGGAACAGTTTGTTTAACAGTATTAAGAGAGGGTTCTTGTCTTCTCTCTGTTTCATCATTATGTGGCCATGATAGTTCATCATATTTTCCAGTGTTTGCACTACCTTGATCTGATCCAAGTGAACTCTCATCCTGTTTTTCCAAATTCCACCATTCTAAAGTATCATCTGGAAATCCAAAACATTCTCCTATGGATTTTTTCTTTTCGCCTAATGCACTTTTTGCATTATCTTGCAACAGAATATCCCAGGCATCTAAATTATTTGGACTGTAAAATTCTTCATTATTTAGAGCAGATGTTTGTGCAATATGATTATGTACATTATCCTGATCTATTTCCTTTTCTATAAAATACTCAGAAGTTTCATGGACATAGCCTTCTCTTAAAATATTAACATCTTCAGAAGTTTTATTTAATGCATCCACGTGGACATTTTCTTTCAAATTAGGCTGAGCATTTGAATTTTTTGAATCAACTATATGATTTGTTTCATGGAACTGCAAAGATTCCTGCTCTCTCACATCATCTTCCAATTTGTCAGAGTCTAAATCTGACTCTATTGCTCCCTGATGTGTATTTGAAAATTCTGAATCTTCATCTGTTCCAGGACTTGATAAAGAAGATGTATCATCATCCACATGAGCATTCCAAAGATCTAAGTTTTTAGGAACTTTATGATCAGTATTTGTTTCAGAATCTTCTTGGCTTTTATTTTCAAGGGATTCCTTCCCAGATTCATCTATTTTGATATCATTGGTAATGTCCCATATACTTTCACTCTTATTCTGATTATTAGCTCCTTGAAAACTCTCCCTGGTATGTATGTTACTTGAAGAATCACTTATATCTGGGCTTGTTGGACTTGAGTATATATCATCGTGAATGGAACCACCACTGCTATTATCTTCCTCATACATATTTTTGAGGGAAATATTTGCAGGGGAATTACTTGATACTTCTGGCATTTCATTCTTCATGGGGCTTAGTCCAGCAGACTGAATCTGTTCACTCACTGATATATTCCAAGCATCAAGTATTTGGGACAATTCATGATGCAGTATAATATCAATACATTTTTCATGAGTAAACTTATTCTCACTCTCCAGACTTTCAGAAGTTTCACTTATTTCAGAAGAATCAGCTTTATAGGGTAATGAATTGTTTGGTTGTGGCATATCTGTTGTATCCAGGGGTTCAATATATTCTGTATGTAGATTCTGTGGAATTCCTTGATTTTTATCCTTTGAAGTTGTGTCTTCAGTGTTGACTATTTCTGAAACGTCTTCACAACTTTCCAATTCAAATTTATCAGTGTTCAAGTTAGGTATTGACTCTTCTCCTATTGATGGTGGTTCTTCACCATGCAAAAAAAGATTTGATGGTTCTAATTCTGAAGTGTTCACTTCTGATCTATTAATCATGCTTTGATTTTCAACCATTATTGGAGAATGCTCCATTTGATTACATTCTTCTCCAGGAGAAATTGGAGAGGGACTTTCCATTTCAGGAATATTTTGTGCAGATAGATCTTTATCAAAAGATTTAGAAACTGGTGTAGATAACCCCTCTGAATGGTAGTTTAGATGATCAACCATGTTAAAACGTTCCAAATTATCATTATCTTCTTTGGGAGACATAACAAAATGTTTTGCATTACTATCTGAGGATACTTCCTTCTTTTCCTCCTTGACAAGATAAGTCCAGTTGGAAAATGGTACACTTACTTCTGGTGGGTCTGCTGCTATTTCTTCCAGACTTCCACTAGTTATTGTTTTTTCTGGTGAGCTGGGATATTCAGCAATTGTCCTGCTTTCTTCTGAACTATTAACATATGAAAGAGGTAGTAAAAGTGACAATGACATGCTGTCATTTTGCAGTGTTTCATTCCTAATATCATTAAGGGTGACTGATCCTACAGCAGTTTTATTTTTAATTACTTCTAGTGTTGAGGAGTAAGTTAAGCTATTATCCTCCAATGCAACTTCTTGATTGTGCTGGAGATGTTCAGTTTTTTGGTCAAATTGCTGATTCAGAAGCTTACTTTCTTGTTCTGACTGATAGTTTCCTTTAAGTTGATAATTAACTAAAATGGCATTCTCTGTATCATTTGGGTCCAAACAAGGAGATCCTGTGTCTTCAAGAATGACTTCATTATTTCTCGCACTTTTTTCTTCTATTGTGCACATGATACTACTTAGCGGGGAACTACCACTTTTTTGTGCAGGATCCAACATCATTCCATAGTTTTCAGAAGGGCTACTGTCATCAACATCATAGTCACCTGAAAAAAGCACTGTATCTTTTTGTTCTGTATCAAATACAACAGCATCTTTAATATTAAGCTCAGAATGTTCAACTTCAATTTGCTTTTCATTCTTAAGGGTTAGTTTCCAAGCTTCACTATAATCAGATGAACATACAGGAAATGTTTGTGGCAATGATTTATCATCTGCTAAATCATATGTTTCTGTTTCTGTTTCAGTTTCATCTGAATTTGAGTTTATTATTTGGTTAAAGATTGGCTCTCTATCAGAACGTTTGTCCTCACTTTCTTTTTCATCTCCAATACCTGTGGGTGATACATATGAATCAGATGTTGAATAGTTTGTATCTGGTGGAGAGACAATGAGATCTTCACATGTATTTGATGTGACAAAATCTGGGTCTTTATATGACAGGAAGGGATCTTCCCAAGATGCAAGGTTTCCAAGCATATCTTTTCTGATGTTTGAATCACAGGCATCCCATACAGTGGTATTGTCAAACTGTCTGGATTTAGTGTCACTGTGGTTTTCCATAATCGATTTAACATCTTTCTGCACAATGCCAAAATCAGATTTTGCATTTTTATATGCTCTGTGATTTTCTACTGAGCTATGCTGCTCGTTGTTTTGAGATCTTAAATCTATTTGATTTTTTGGATTTTCACTTGGATTATCTACAGAGAATTCCAGTAAACATTTAGACATAGAATGTGTATCAAAATTTTGTGAAAAGGGATCCAAATCCACTTGAGGAACTTTCCATGGATGCTCTGTGGGCCTTGAGCTATCATGATCAAACTCTGTCCAAACGTTAGGCAAATATGTCTTTATATGTCCACTATTATTCCATGGTCCAGAAACTGGTTGACTGGAGTTCCACATATTAGCAAACTCTTCCATTTGCTGTTCATCTTTTTGTTGATATTCCAAAGAATTCTGGGCAGGACTAAATGGTTTTTTCCAAATATCTGTTCTTGAAAATTCCATATACTTTGGTTGCTTTTGCATACATGCCGAATCTGAAGCTCTTCTGTCAGTTTGCTGTCTCAGTAACAGATTTACTTTATAATCTTTCCATGAATCAGGACTCTGAAATACAGATTCTGGTTCAGTTGAATTCCATGTATCAACATTTTTGGAATCTACTTCAAAACCATCCCACCAGCTCCCATATCTAATACGAGAATGAGGATTTTTCACATGATCAATTTCATTAATTCTTTTAATTATATCTTGTGGATAAAATAAAGGTGGCCCACTATCTAAAGGTGATGTTTCCACAAGGCTATTCATTGGGGTTGGTGGAGTTCTTCTCTCGCCACTTTTAAATATTTCTGGACAAGATGAAAATTCATTTTCCAAGTCAATCAAACTTGATTTTTTTTCAGAAAAATCTCTGTGACTTTCTTCTTTGTGGCCAGATTCATTCAATGTCACTGTATCATCTTCTTCACTTCTTTGTATGTCTACTGAATAATTTGCAGTGTCACATTCTGATAGATTTGTCTTGTCATCTGCTTTTGAATTAGCTGACAACTGTTCTTCTGATGAACCACTGTCATGGGAGAAATCATCCACAGAACAGTCCACTGAATGTGAAGACATTGTCTGAACTGATGTCATAGGTACTAAATCAAAACTGAAAAGATCAAAATTGTCACTGCAATTCCTAGATGTAGGCTTTTCTTCTTCAGCTACTGCTCCTTCAGGAATGGGACTATAAGAGTCAAATCCAGAAAGAAAACTGTGATGAGATGCACCCCCTTCTGCTACTGGACTATCATCACTAAGAAAAACTGAGCTCTCCTTAGACGATCTGCTGCTTCTAATAGTAGCAAGCCCACTGTCAGGACTCACAAGATCTATGTTAACATCAGCATGGGCTTGGGCTGATCCATTATGATCCTGAGGGTTTTCTATAAAGTTGACAACATTTGGTTGTGGTTCAATGTCTGAACCATATAGTTCCATAATTCCAGAAGACCCTTGAGAGAGTGGAGCACTTCCAGCAACAGCTTCAGTGGAAGATGTTCTACTGTTTGGTGCCATTTCAGGATGTCTCCTGCTGATAACATCTTTCATTAGCAAAAAAATTTCATCACCATTTGCTATATAATTCTCTTGCTGATAAATGAGAAGTTGGTCACATCCATATTCCATAGGATCCAGTTCCAGGCATGGATTCTGGCATTCTTCTAATTCACAACAAATCTATTAAGAAAAAAAAGTGTTTTGTTTGATCAACTGTACATAATGAAAGTAAGTTTAATAAAAATTAATACTGATCCCCTTATTGTCTAATTCTTCTGAAATCGAGTTTTTACTTTGTAATACTTTTCAGATTCTAATATACTCTGAGCAAGTACTTTCTGCTTAAGCAACAGCACTTGACAAAATGAAATAAAAATTTAGCCTACAGGTTCCAGAGGGTTTAGTATTCCTGATCTTTGCCCCTAATATTCCCCTTTCCTTAAAATAGTAAAAGAAAATATTTTTATGCAGCATTCTCAATCCAGCATTATTTAAAAGCACCAGGTAAACAACAATAGCTGCCTACCTTTTCCCAGAATTCACCAGGCCTTACTAGATTATATATACTATACATTCTGGAAAAGAAGCATTGTACTAATATATGTATATGGTTTGATGAGGGCCCAATCCAGTTATTGCTCATCACTGCCTAATAAGCTTATGTGGGGCTGGAGGGCACAGAATGCTAGGTGCATTTCAATGTCATTCTAAAGCAAAAGCCAACAAAGTGGTTAAGAAAAAAAAATAATAAAATCTGACATTGTCTTTGTTTAGATAATTACTAACTTAGCCCTCTAATGAATGGATCATGATATTTCAAGAATACCATTATGTATTGATAAAGAGTACATCATGCAAACATTAGTGGCATTTTTTCCATTCTATGACTTAATTGTGCTATTAAAATATTTATGCTAGTAACAATATCCTATAAAGTTTAAGAAAATTATTATCTACCTTAAATATATAGTTCTATTTGTTAAATATATGATCTTACTTGTATAGGACAACATCAGAACAAGAAAGCCGTTCTTTGATCTGGGTGAAGCCCAAAGGGTTCTAGAAAGCCTAGTTCTGAAGCAGTACAATTGTATAAAATAGAGCAGCTTTCCCCAACCTAATGCAAACCAAATGTGTTGGAACTATGAGTTCCAGGATTCCTAGGAGCATAGTCAATTTTTAGACAGGGTCATCATACACTTTCCCTAGTGGGAATAAACATTTGTTCATAGCAGTTTGTAATATTTTTTTAAAAAAAAGAAGTGTAGAAATTTATTCTTTAGAACAGAAATAGAGGTTTTCTGTTTCTTATTTCAAAGACTGAATTGCAAAAAAATGAATACAGGTAATCCTTGCTTACCAACCACTTATTCAGCGACCATTCAAAGTTATGACAGAGCTGAAAAAGATTTATGACCAGTTCACAAAGTTGAAGCTGTTGCAGCATCCCCGTGGTCACATGATCGCAATTCGGGCGCTTGGCAACCAGCATGCATTTACAACAGTTGCAGGTCCTGCACTCACGTGATCACCATTTGTGACCTTCACAGCCAGCTTCCAACAAGCAAAGTCAGTGGGGAAGCCGGCAGGAAGTTGCAAATCACAGTCACGTGATGTCATCCTTAACAACCTGCAGTAATTTGTTTAACAACCATAGCCGGAACTGACAAACGGACGTTGTAAGTCAGGCACGGTCACGTGACATGTCACTTTATGACCGAGTCACTTAGTAATGGAGTTGCCAGTCCCAACTGTGGTAAGTGAGAACTACAGTGGGGCAAAAAAGTATTTAGTCAGCCACCAATTGTGCAAGTTCTCCCACTTAAAAA